TGTATTTTATTTAAAGTAATAAACCTTTACAAAAAAGGTCTTTTCCTATTGAAAATGATTTTTTAAAAAGAAGTCATAACGATAGGAAAGTTTATAGTGATTTAATTTATTTTGTTTTTCATACTCAGATGGTTATCTTTCAAACAACTCATAATAAAATTCTTTAGTCTAAGTACGTGAAGATACATTAAATTACTGAGATATTTTATTAAAAATTAAACATTACGAGAATGCAATTCTCTGCATTTAATAAAATTCACTAAAAGATCTTTCGACACCAACAATAGAATTCAACTCGGTATTTTCTAAAATACTTTCCTTCCCTCGTTTATGTCACAATAATTGTCCTTTTTCCAAATATTTAAGAGTGGTAAAGTTTCACTTTACTTTAATATTTCATTATTAAACAATTCTTTAGTCACAGATGTATTTTATTTTAAATTAAAAACCTTTAAATAAAAGGTCTTTTCCTATCGAAAATGGTTTTCGAAGGAGTCATAACGATAGGAAAGTTTATAGCGATTTATTTTGTTTGTTTTTCATACTCAGATGGTTATCTTCCAAACAACTTATATAACGATTCTTTAGTCTAAGTATGTACAAAATGGTCCTTAAAAAGAGATCCAAATCAATACTTTTTTTTTTTAAATATTCCTACTCATATAAAATACATCCCTTCCTTCCCTCCTTTATGTCTCAACAATTGTTCTTTTTTCAAATATTTAAGAATGGTTAAGTTTCACTTTACTTTAATATTTCATTTTCTTACGATTCTTTAATCAAATATGTATTTTATTTTAAATTATAAACCTTAAATACAAGGTCTTTTCCTATCGCAAATAATTTTACAAGAAGAAGTCTTTACGATAGGAAAGGTTATGGCGGTCTAAAAGATTTGTTTTTCAGACTCAGATGGTTACCTTACAAGCAACTTATAACACGATTCTTTAGTCTAAGTATATACAGATACATTACTAAGATTTTTTATTAAAAATTAAACGTTTTAAGGACGAGTTTCTCTGCATTTAATAACATTCACTCAAAGGTCTTCTGCCACCACTAATGGTCCTCAACAAAAGAATCCAACTCAGTATTTTCGGTACTTTCTAAAATATTTCTACTCGTATTAAATGCATCCCTTCCTTCCCTCCTTTATGTCATAATAATTGTTTTTTTTTTTTTTTTTTCAAATATTTAAGAATGGTAAAGTTTCACTTTACTTTAATATTTCATTATTAAACGATTCTTTAATCGAAGATGTATTTTATTTTAAATTATAAATCTTTAAATAAAAGGTCTTTTCCTATCGCAAATGATTTTCTTAGAAGAAGTCTTTGCGATAGGAAAGGTTATGTCGGTCTAAAAGATTTGTTTTTCAGACTCAGATGGTTACATTACAAACAACTTATAACACGATTCTTTAGTTTAAGTATGTACAGATACATTACTAAGATTTTTTATTAAAAACTAAACGTTTTAGGGACGAGTTTCTCTGCATTTAATAACATTCACTCAAAGGTCGTCTGCCACCACTAATGGTCCTCAACGAAAGAATCCAACTTAGTATTTTCGGTACTTTCTAAAATATTTCTACTCATATTAAATGTATACCTTCCTTCCCTCCTTTATGTCTCAACAATTGTTCTTTTTTCAAATATTTAAGAATGGTTAAGTTTCACTTTACTTTAATATTTCATTATTAAACGATTCTTTAATCGAAGACGTATTTTTTTTTCAATTAAAAACCTTTAAATAAAAAATCTTTTCCTATCGCAAATGAATTTAAAAAAAGAAATCTTTACGATAGGAAAGGTTAAGGCGGTTTAAAATATTTGTTTTTCAGACTCAGATGGTTACCTTACAAATAACTTATAACACGATTCTTTAGTGTAAGTATGTACAGATACATTACTAAGATTTTTTATTAAAAATTAAACGTTTTAGGGACGAGTTTCTCTGCATTTAATAACATTCACTCAAAGGTCTTCTGCCAACACTAATGATCCTCAACAAAAGAATCCAACTCAATTTTCGGTACTTTCTAAAATATATCTACTCGTATTAAATGCATCCCTTCCTTCCCTCGTTTATGTCAGAATAGTTGTTCTTTTTCTAAATATTTAAGAATGGTAAAGTTTCACTTTACTTTAATATTTCGGTTTTAAACGATTCTTTAATCGAAGATGTATTTTATTTTAAATTAAAAACCTTTAAATAAAAGGTCTTTTCCTATCGAAAATGATTTTCTATGAAGAATTCATAGCGATAGGAAAGTTTATAGTGATTTAATTTCTTTGTTTTTCATACTCAGATGGTTATCTTACAAACAACTCATAACACGATTCTTTAGTCTAAGTATGTATCAGTTTATGTCATAAAGCAAACATTTCAAAAGAGCATTTTTATGAATTTAACCTTTACAAAGTTTTATTCCCCAAAATAGTTCTTAGCTGAAAGGAAAGTTGTTACATTTTTTTTAAATTTGATTATTATAAATATTTTTTCATCTTTAGTACTAGAGTAGAGAACTGCAATAATTGAAGAATGGTTAAGTTTCACTTTACTTAAATATCTAAGTTTCAAACGATTCTTTATTCAAAGATGTATTTGTAAAACATTGAAAACCTTTTTTCAAAAAAGGTCTTTTCCACATCGAAACTGGAGTCGATGGGAAAGTTTATAATTTTGTAAAAGTTTGTTTTTCAGTCTCAGATGGTTATGCTTACAAAACCCGTAATGAGATTCTTTAGTCTAAGTATGTAAAGATAAATTTTAATTGGAAAGATGCAAATGTAGTAATCTACCATATTAAATAATTTATTTGGACTCATTCGACATTCTTTTATAAAGTTATCAGTCAAGGGTCCAAAATATTAATTTTCTCTTACATTGTGTGTTAGATGATGCAGGGACCTTAGAAACACATTAAATCTTTAGACTTCGCTGTAGACCTGTAGCGTAGACCTACAGACATTTAATATTTTTTGCAGGGTAGGTTGTTCCACATCGATATAATGGGACCTTCCGATTAAAAATATTTTAAAATTTTCAAATGTATTTCAAAACCAAATAATTTGGATTTTGATAATTAATATTCACACACAATATGTGTGCACCATTTGGTGTGATTTCCATATATCTCCTTTCCCACTGTTTTAAACCTAATTTGCATTTTTGGATTCTCGATTCGTAGAGGCCATATATCTGAACCAATTGACTTCTAAATTGGCATACTTTATTCTATGATCCAAAAGTTCCCTATTTGGATAAAATTAGCATGGTTAGTGAATCATTTACATCAAATTGGAGGAAAGTATAATTCGATCGCATATGCCAAAATCAATTTAATATGGTCATGTATTGGGATTCGGTCGAAGATTTAAATGAAAGCTATATCCAAATCAACCATGATTACCACCAATTTTAATTAAGTTCTCCCTCATACCAAGTTGAGCTATGGAATTCTATGCAGATCTCGTATTCTAACGGTTGTACGTTTTCTGGAAATAAATTTATTTGTGAAATTGTAGTCCCTCATGATCCGCTGATCCAAATTTTTAATCAAATTCAAATAATTTTTGGGAAGAAACCATAAAGGTCAATATTCCCCTACCTCCATCCCAAAATGCAAAGTCCTTGAAAAATCATGAGTCTTGCAAAAATGCATTTGATGTCTTCGATCTGGTCCAAATTTGCACCTCATTTTTTGGAATATTTTTTCTAAATCCTCCTTATTAAGGACCTTTCTCTGTCAAAATTTTTGGAGACTTCAAGCATGAGTTTTTTTTAGAATTTCCTGGCAAGAAATTGTTGGTGATACAAAAGAGTTTCCTAAACATTCTTACCAGTAATTTTACTTTTTATGAATATTTTTCAAATCCATAAAGGGCGAAGGATTGTGGATTTCTAAAATCGTTTTAAAGGACTACCGGGCTATATATATCGCGGTTTTTTAATTGTAATTGAAGAGTAGTTTTTTATTGGCCCTTTCAAGGCAAACACATTGGATTTATGTATTACTGATAAAAATGGATTTTTTCAAATTATTCTAGATGGTTTTTTAAGAATATTCTTTGCGGGAACAAATATATAACATTGGGAAAAATTATTTCAAATGAAATGAAAAAAATGAGTTCTTTGTTTTTCATTTTTTTTTTTGATATTTCGTCTAAATAAATAAATAAAAACAACAAATACCTTGAGCCCAATTGTATTTAATTTACATTTGAAATAATTTTTCCGAAATTTAATATTTGGCCCCTTTTGAAATAATTTTAATAAAGGGCGAATTAATAACAAAAAATCATAAAATTTTGGAATAATTTATTTAGGTGCATTAGAACTTTTTTTGAAAAAAATCTTATGTTTCCCTGATAATTTTTTTTTTTTTTTTGCAAAAAATGTCTTTGTAATATTTCAAGGATATTTTTAATCCTCGATAAAAATGTTTTTTTTTTACAAAGATTTTCCCGGAATAGTTCATGTCCTGTTTTAATGTATTCTCTTTGGGAATTTCTGGACAAAATTTTTGAAGCCATATATTCCAAAATTTTGATTTTTTCTTTCGAACATATTGATCAAAAACTTATCGAATTGTTTTTAACGCCTTCCTGAAAAAATCGCGAATTCTTTTATACCTTATACCTTATAATTTCGGTGACATGGGGTTTATATGCACATATAAGTGTTTAAACTATCATAGGCTAAAGGTATGTTTCTTTCAATAATTCCAAACTAGTTTTTTCCCAATCACGAATTTTTCATCACCCATTTAATTCTACAATTTTCAACACAACATCACTCAAAGTCCTTCATGACACTACTCGTTTTTGTTCAAATTTCATTTATCTAAGAAGTCAAACCTTTGTTTTTAACGGCCACTATTTACATAGCACTTATTTATGGAAATTTTCTTAAGTTCTAACCCCCATTTTTATGTCACCCCCAACTTTAATATCTATATTTATCATACTTTTTGTTTTCTACCAAGGTCGCCATACCTGTTGTGCTGCGGCAGAGCCATTAAGAGATTGAGGTTCATAACCTTTTTCACGTAAACGTTTACGTTCAAAAATTTGATGGCGTATTTTTAGTAAAATGTCACGTTTACCATTGTGCTGAGGTTGTTGGAGATAATGTTGTTCCTCAACAGAATCTTGGTCCATCGGTTGCTGCTGGTGGTGATACTGTTGGCTGTGTTGTTGATGATAGGCAGTTGTCGTTGTTACTGCTGCTGAGATATTCATGGCATTTATATCTGGTGAGAGGCGGGATGATAGAATGTTGTTTGTTGCATTTAATATTGCTATGTGTTGTTGTTGCTGCTGCAGGCGTTGTTGTTCTGTTATCCTTGTATGACTCAGTAAAGGTATGGCTTGATTTTGATAGCTGTGTTTTCTCCTCACTGCCATAAACTCATCCTCACATTGATTATCATAAAATTGTTCTTGTTCCATATCACTGCTGCTCTGACTGCCTTCATTGTCATTGCTGTCATCGTTGGTGTTGTCCATCGATTGGAATTGGAAACTTTTCAGTGTTTTTGTTAATTTCTTGGGACTCTGTTGTTGTTTGTGTAGATTTTTCTAAATCAAAATACAGAAAAAAAGAAAGAGAGAAAACAAAACAAATAAGGCCAAAGAATTAGCATGTGCTTGTTGACATTTTCATTTGGTGGCATTTGCCAATAATAGCTTAGAGAAACTGTCCCAGTAAAGTATGTCAGATATTTTTAAGGTGTTTCTTTTTATAAATGTAAAATTATTTAAGTAACATGTATATATTTAAGAGAAATAAAATAAGGTCTTTACTTTTGGTCCAAAAAAGGATGTTTGAATGTATTTCAATTTGCATTGTTCAGGAAATTAGTTGAACACAAATTAATACAGTTTCTTAGTGAACTGCTCAGTACATGTTATTATAATATACTAACTAAGAATAGATTTGGATGCTATGAGCTACTCTCAATTTTTTATACTCTACAGTGAAATAAGGACTGTTCCGGGCTAACACATGGTCACATAAATTTCGTGTCTATCGAGGTTTTTTTTTTTTTGCAAATATTTGTCGGGAAAATTTTAAGATCATCTTATACTGTATTAAATGAAATCGGAGGGTTTGAAGTGAATGAAGGGGTTTCAGTCAAAGTTATTTTAGCCTGTGACTAGGAGTCGGAGCCTCATATATTTATTGGAGCCGGAGCCCTTTTTAAGAAAATATATTTTTTTTAAATATATTCTGGTCTTTTACAAAAAAGGCATCTTCTTTTCGGAACCATCATGAGAAAAACTCAGGGACGCCCACAGGGTGGATACTTTTTTGCAATTTTTTTTTTGTTTTTTTGGTTTATTATACTCGGAAATTTTATCTAGCGGACACCCCCTTCCTCCCAAAATTGTTTAAAAATACACAGGATTTCCCAAGAAAAACCTCTAAATCCTTCAAAAATTCTGACTCTCAAAAATATATAATAATTAATGGATTCCAATAAAAATATATACTTGTTAAAATTTCTGACATTGTGATTTTGTATAGGACCTCTCCCTCCTCTTCATAATTTGATTGATATTTATAGGAAGATTTTCTGATTTTTTATTGGAGGAGAGTATTTCCAGTCTTATTTTTTTCTTTGAGAGGAAAACAAATTACTCTCTGAATGACTACAACTTTCACAGAGAAACGCCACTTCTAACAGAAGTACACCTGATCTATTTAAAGGAAAATCACTTGGGCTTCTTAAAAAATGCTTGTGAATGGAGATATACTTTTCCTCTAAAGGAAGATTTACTGATCTTCTAAGGAAAAGTATTTTTACACCATCCACCGTAGTATGGAGGGTTTATTAAGTTTGTCATTCCATTTGTAATTCCTCCAAATACTCATGTCAGACCCAACAAAGAATATATATGTATTCTTGATCAGCGTACAAATATTTTTCCCGTAGGCAGGTTAAGCTCGTAAATGGGTCATGTAGGTCCAAGATTTCATATCGCCACCATATAACCGTACCTCCCGATATTCGTTATTTTGATGATTTTAGTGACATTATTCACCGGAATTGTTTCAATTTTGGTATTTAAAGTTCGAAATGGATACTACATCCTAAGACAGAAAATTGTATGTGCAGGTCTACGTCTTCGTACAGCCCCCATATAACGGTACCTCCCTATAGTCGATATTTTGATGATTCATTATTTACTGAAATTGTTTCAAATTTGATATTTGAAGTTCATAATGAATACCACAGCCTATGACAAAAAATTGTTCGAGATGTAGTATTTTTAGGTCGTAATGGATGGAAAGTTCGTATAGCTCCAGTATAACGGTTAAAAGATACAAAGATATTCTCTTTTCAGACCGGATGGCCCACCTTTAAGAGAGTACGTGGTCTACCGTAAAGAAGGACTTCTCACGGAAGTTAACCCGGTCTTCTATGGGTATAACTGTTTGTCTCATAACCAAAAAATTTTTTAACTTTCACACAAAGATAGCCTGAAAGGCCAGATCACCTATATTGCTCTACGAGAGGTCATACATACGTGTCTTTTCAATACCAACCTTCTTGTCTACTAAAAAACTCCTCCTGGTCTTCTTAAGGAAGACTTACCGATTTTTACAGTAATGGTCTTAAGAAATAAGAAATACCATCTGTCCTTCTGAAGGATGGATTTATGAAAGGAAGACCCTCTTGTCCGCTGAAAGAATAAGTGTTGGTCTGCTAAGAGAAATCCTTTATGTTCGATTTTTTTTTTTTTTTTTGGGAAAAACTATTAATCTCATAGTCAACGTTTGAACATGACTCAGAGGAGAAAATCTGAAAACCCGCTTGAAGGCCGGCTACTTACAAAAGTTATAAAGTTTAGTAAAACTATGGATCGCGTAGCTGGTGTTAGACATATTCCATAGGAAAATATCAACTTCGTCATTTTTATCGCTAATATCTTCGGAGCTATTAGAGTCTGCTTCTTTGTGTCTTTTATTATGTCTCTGTTTTTCTGGAGATTATGGCTAATTTTTTTGACATAAACGGTCTTAATCTCCATAACCGTAATATTGGGATTTTTCATCTCACAATCAATTTTCAAGTTAGGCCTACTTCTTATGATAGATCCCATCTATGTGCTACTGTTTAGATATCCTCCTAAACTATGATTACTAATTTTTTAGTTTAAGCTAAAATTAAAAAAAAAATGCTGCAATCGATCGGAACTAAAGATTGATTTTATTTTAAATTAGTTTCAATAAGGTTTGAGCTACAGTAGCTATTGGAATACTACCATATACAGACATCATTTTCAAAATTTTGGTCACATTAATTTTAATTTTCTTTTATTTTAAATTTAAACTTTCAGTGCCTCTTGAAAGCTTGTTTAACTTAAATTTCGATTTAAAGGCTAAGACACCCATAAAAAAATTCAAAACAGTTGAATTTTTTTCTTTAATTTTTTTAATAGTCCAAAAAAGTTATGTATTTGTCTGCAACAGTCCGTTATTTACCTCTATACTCTCCCTGTAACGTGTTTTCTATTTTTCTTACTCTCTCACTCTCCCATTTCTCTGAGCAAACTTACATTTCTCTTGGATTTTTCAGCTAAAAATTTACACAATTGCAAAATGTGTTCGGCCGTGAAACGTTTTTCTGTCTCCATTTCGATTTTGCGCATTGTGTCGGTGCTGTTGCTGCAGATGACACCCCCACTGGCAGTTATGACGACATCATTGTCATTTTCGGTGACATCACAATCGCTGTTATGGCCGGTATTCATCATTGTGGTTTCTGGTGTTGCTGTCGTTGTTGTTGTTAATAAATAACACTTATCACTTTTCTTTTTGGTCGATGGTTTTCCATGTATATCTGTGTTCAGACTTTTATGTTTCATTAATTTGTACATAATACCCATTTAATACGAAAAATGTATAATTTTTTCTTATAATATAATTTTGTTAACACTTGATTGTTGGGTTTTTTGTTATACCCTTTTGATAATAAATTAAATTTTTCTTGTTGTTATGTCTTGGGTATTGGTTTTTCTTTGTTTTTTTTTTCAAAAAATATTTTCCGTATCAAAAATAAAATCACAATATATAATATCACAAACACATGTCGCTACTGGGAACAGCTATTTAAGAATAAAATAAAATTTTCAAAATTTCTATGATGTTCACTCCTTGAAAACGTTTCTTGTAATGATCTTGCCGGGGTCCCTGCCTTCTCTACTTATACTCAAAATTACATGTGGTGTGCGATGTATATTTGAATGTTTTTTTGCTTTCTGAAAATAACACAAAATTTTCCCGCTCAAAAATAATTTTCCTTTCCTTTGTTGTTGTTATTCTTGCCTGAACGGCCGACCTCTAGTGAGAGTGAATGATTCTAAGGCAAGTGAGAGTGCGGGGAAATTGTGTGCCTATGGCCGTGTTATGAGCCAACGAATAGCGTATAACACAGTGTCAGGTCAGTGAAATATTATTGTAGAAATTAATTTCAGGGACTGTAAATGAACAATGTGTGCTGAGATATGGAGATTGTTTTGAAGATGAGTATTTTAAATGTACGAAGAGAACTGAATGCTCCTAAATTTTTAATTGAGTGAAAGGATAGAGATGGAATCCTGAAACATGGTATAGATATCACTGTTTTTGTCTGTAGTTGAGAGAAAGACGAGGTCTATAATTGTTCGAAAAGTAGTAAGTGGTACGAAATTGGGTATTGGGTGAGAGAAGAGGGCCGGAGACCCGAAATTTAAAAATTAGATCAGTTTTTTTATCTGAAATTTAGATATGAAGGTGGTTTTTCATTTTTATTTTTAAGAGCACTGAAATTTCAAATCAAACATTGAACAAGTTAAGAAGTATTAGTCGGTTCTGCCGACAGACGTATATCCTCAGCCAATCTTCAATTATTTAAATATATTTTGACTTCTGTTATGATTATTCAAACACTTGACCCTCTATGGAGTGGGTTCTGAAGGAATGGACCAATATTGTCCATATCCAGGTTTGGTCTATATTGGTCCCAGGTTTGGTCTATAATGGCAATTCCCTCATAAAATCCATATTCATCCCAAGTTTCTGGTTGAGAGAAATATGTAGGTATAGCAAATTGTGTTTTGCATGTTTTGACAGGTAATAGTACTGTAAATGGTAACCACCCTTTGTGGGTCAGATCTAAAAGATCATGCGTTGATGGAAGTATTGAGATGTGCCAAATCTTATTTCGGATTTTATAAACGTTTTGGGGGGAGATACCAGAAGAAATGGTCCGATCTCTACCGCATTTATAACGGATCCTGCGTTGACAGAAATATTCAGATGCGCCAAGTCTAAATGAAATCGGATATTTATTTCGCGTTTTATGAGCTTGATAAATATTCAAAATTTGGACCTTTTGTGAGGGAGGTACCGAAAGGAGTGGACCGATATATTCCATATTAACATCAAACTTTGTGTTTATGAAATGATTGGGATGTGTGAAATTTTAAGACAATCGGACTCTTACATCACAATTTATAAGAGTTTTATTTATTTAAAATGTTGACCCTTTGTGGGGAAGGTACTTGCTAGAGTGGACCAATATTGCCTATTTTCGCACCTAACCTAGCACTGACGCAAATATTGGAATAAGCAAAGTTATAGCAAAATCGGATTATAGTTTCCCTTTCTGTGCAGAAAATATATTTTTTGCAAACGTCGACCTTTTGTAAGGGAGTTACCAGCAGGAGTGGACCGATATATTCCCGATTAACACCAAACCTTGGGTTAATGAAATGATTGGGATGTGTGGCATTTGAAGATAATCGGGTTCTTACTTCACATTTTATAAGAGTTGTAATTATTCAACATTTTGGCCCTTTGTGGGGGAGGTACGTGGTACTGTCCCCGATATTGTCCATTTTCGCACCTGACGTAGCACTAACGCAAATATTCGGATTTTCAAAGTTGGAGCAAAATTGGACCGTTCCGTGTAGAAAATATATATATATTTTGAAAAATTCGACCTTTTGTGGGGGAGGTACCAGAAAGAGTGGACCGATATTGCCCATCTCCGAACTCGTTCTAAGTTTAACAGAAATATTACGATGTACCAAGTTTGGATCAAATCTGATACTCCCTTCGAGAGTTATCGTGCGTACCAGCCAGCCAGACAAACGGCGGACGGACATCGCTAGATCGACTCCAAATGCCCTGAAACGGATTTGTTCTAAAAAGACCTGGGGTCTAAAACCGTTATTTCGACTAGACACTTTTGACCTTATTAAATGATATATACCCTCTCTAGCCATATGGCTAAGGGTATAAAAAGGCCCCAAAGTTAAGTCGGGCCGATCCTTTAATACTCTCTACTATTTGGAAGAATCTGGAATAACTTTTAAAAGAATGTGGTAGGAACATACCACAATTGTTACATAGGGGCTATACGAAGACGAGAACCTGCATACGCAATTTTCATAGGCTGTACTACTCATTAGGACCTCGAAATACGAAATTAAAAACAATTCCGCTAATACCATCAAATTACCGAAAAAGAGAGGTGCTTTTTATATACCCTAAAATCGACTTAGAAGTTTACGCTGATCAAGAACATATATACTTTGTTGGGTCCGACATGAGTGCCTCTTACCCTCCATAGTAAGGTAAGGGTATACAAGTAATAAATAAATAAAGTAAAATAAGGAGTTCAGATTTTTTTTTTTTTGAGAACTTCAAGTCTGTGAATCTCAAATTTCAAAATTTTGGTTTTCGTAACAATATTTTTTAGGATCTAGGAATTAAACACGTATTTCTTATTTGTAGTGGATTTTGTAAAAACAGTTTTGAAGGACCTCAATTCCAAAATGGTTTTGTAAGAACATTTTTAAGGGCTACATGTTCAATATTGTTGATTTTTAAGGACTTCAAGCTTCAAAACCGTGGATATTCTAAAAACATATTTAGAAACTTCTAATTCAAATCTGTGGACACTTTTCTGCTACGGGGGTTATTACCTATTGCCAGTTCTAGCTATCAAATTTTAAATAATTCTGAAGAAATATGTGACTGAAATCATAAAAACGAGAAATTATAAAGCAGCAGGTTCGACCGGGTCGAACTTTGAATACCCTTCACCATTTGGAACGATTTTTTTTACGATATCGCATGGGCAATTTTCTGTCACATGCTTTAGTATCCATTTCGAATTTCTGTCACAGGCTGTAGTGTCCATTTCGGAATGTAACTACGAAATTTGAAAAAATTCCAGATATAAATGTAGCTAAAATTATCAAATCCCGAATATATGTGGGTACCGTCATATGGGGGCTATGCAAAGACGTGGCCTTGCACAGACAATTTTCCATCAAGGGCTGTAGTACCCATTACGAACTATAATAACAAAATTTGAAAAGATTCCGGTAAACAATGTCGCTAAAATCATCAAAATACCGAATATAGGGAGGTACAGTAATACGGGGGCTATAACTAAACGTGGATCTATATAGCCCATTTTCAATACGAAAAGTCCTGCAAGCCAAATACACATATGAATAAAATTTTTTTAGCCCATTCAATTCGTTCGGACGGATAACCATCGTTAAATTGAATTTTATGCTGATCAAGATTATTTAAACATTGTGGCATCTAAAAAGTATATTTCGAGATGTTACAAACGGAATGACAAACTTAATATGCCATATGGTGAAGGGTATAAAAACAGAATATGATACCGGTGCTACAAATACCCCATTTTAAATAAATTCAATAGAAAATGTGGCCTAATTCAACGGCCAACACCGTGCACCATACCGTAGCGCCGAATTACTTTTCCCTTTCAAAACTAAAATACTAAACATTTATCTTGGCATACCAAACACTGCGCTCGCTGCACTGCACTGCTCGTCTTCCTTTACTCAGCCACACCAACCCAACATGTGTTGTTGTAGCCTCGGTTTTCTCCAACGATTTATTTTTGGTTGCAATAACTAAAAGATTTTGCTGTCATTGTTGTTGTTCTTTAGTTTTTAGTTATTGGCCTGAGTGGCATCCATACACACACACAGTGAAGGCACCAACATTAGCGTCAAGAGCAACAGCAGCAACATCCTCGCTGCAGCAATCGACATGAAGATCGTTGGGAAACAACAATGCAACAAACAAACACATGTTTGTTTCTGTTATCGCCGCGTCTAAAAATAAATGAAATGAGCCAACCCATCATTTAAATTAATATAAACGCATTTTGTTGTTTTTATATAGATTTGGTGGTGAGATGATTGTCTCTTTTTCGACATTTTCGGGGATCCATATGTCTATTGATGCGGTACAATTATGAATATGAATCTTAACCCTCCCTTCGTCCAGAAAAAAGAAAAGAACTGAAACATTTATTTATTATTTAAACAGGTCTTCCGGAGATGAAGCAGATGGTATTTTTGAATCGGTTAAGGAGAAAGGGTGGTGTTATTAAAATTAATATTGGAAAAGAATTTATTTGAATGGATAAGCTAGGAGAATATTTAATCTATATATATAAATGTAAGTTGTGTTAGTTACTACGCTTATAACTCAAGATCCGCTGATCCGATTTTAACGATTCATACAAATTCGGAATTGTCTCTTTTCCGAAAAGGATAATATTCAAAAAATCGCGTAAAAATGTGATATATTAACATTTTCATTTTGACTTTTGAAATGTACAATAGTAATGTTTTATTTTGCATGATTTTTTCCATTTTGACTTACTTTTTTCTAATGTACATTTGTAGTGTTTTTTTATATTTTTTTTAATTCGAATATTAATACCAATTTATTTAATTGACTTGATTTCTTGAGAACTGAAATTGATGGCGGGTTGCATGGAAGTCAGTCAAATGATATCGAAATAACTTAACGCGGTTAGACCAATGTTAAAAGATAATTACTTTTTCAAAATC